GGGGGGGGGGGGGGGGGTACGCGGTCGAGACAGACGAAACATGTTTCTTGCTGGTGCATGCTTCTCGAGCCGTGCCGTAGCGCGATGTACTCGTCGCGTGGGGTGTTGGGTAAGGGCAACAACACGGTGGTGTATTGTCACTGAATGTAGCGCCGTGTGGGACTGCTGTGTCGTCATGATGCCTTGATACCTGTGCAAGAATGGAGACAGACCTGTGCCTGATGCCGCGCGTGGTGGTGAGCTGTGCAGTGGTTGGTTGCTCAAGCAAGCGCCTTTTTCTGTGTGTATGGTGTTGAAGGACGGGAAGGATGCATGAAAAACGTCTGTCATAGATGTTGTGTCTGTCTGCGGACGTGCCGACGATGATGGCTGTTCTTCACATCCGGAAGGAGATGCACATGTTTTGTGTTTGGCGTGGTGCTCGATTGTTTAGTGTTGGAGCGCTGAACCGCACGCGCGATTGTCGAGCATGCCACCGGATCGTCCGTTCATCGGTCCCACTGAAAGTTATAATGTTTCCCCTGGCTGTGTGACTTGTTTTGTTTTGTTTTGTTTCTATGTCTTATTTTCTTCCTTTATTCCATCCAGTCCTCCCGCCCCTCGTCCCCCGCCGCCCTTTTACGCTACAGGCCCTCCAGGAGTTCGTGGAGAAGGTTTCGGTCTTTACCCAGGAACCAAACGACCCTCCTGGAGAGGAGGTATGTGACTCTGTTCTGCCTGTCCGTCTGTTTGCCTGTTCCGTCCGTGTGATTGTTGTGTCGTGTGCCTGTGCGTGTGCGTATTTGTCTACGTGCTTGTTTACTTTGTTTCCCTCCTTTTTCCGCATTGACTTGATTCAGTGCATCTAGCCTTGTGTCTTTTTCTTTTGTTCGCATGCGGTGTGCCACACGACGTAATATACGGTAAGTCGCAAGACTTTGGGAGTCCTTCCGTTTGTTGCTCGGAGGAGGGGGGGAGGTGTGGCGAGGAGCGGGTGGTGTAAGTAGCGCTTGAGAGAGACGTGTTTTGTCCGTCAATTTTCGCATCAATGTTAACCACCGCTGCTCTCCCAAAAAGGTGTCGGCCATCTTCGCTGAGTACGCGGGCATCCTGGCCAGTGAGGGGGAGACGGAGACGGCCTTCAAGTACATCAAGGGGCAGGGCCAGAACGGTGCCGTTCTTCAGGACAGGTGTGTGAGGGGGACAAATAACAAATAGAGCACCAGAATGTGTCAAGCGGGCAATGAATGCAGCACCAGCGTGTGGCAGGGGACAAATTAGCAACAGCAACCAGTTGGAGGGACAAGAGACGTGTGCGCTTTTCTTGTGAGAAGGGCATCTCCCGCCCGGCTTTTCCCTCGGTTACCTGCTGTATTTTCTCTTCGGATTTTTTTTTTTTCCCTTGCTGGCTTTTTTTTTTCTCTCTCATCATCCATCCGTCCAACGGCATCGGGCTTTGGTCTTCGTGTCATTTTTCTCTCTTCGTTCCCTGTGTCTTGTGTCGTGTTTGGTCCTTGGTCTGGCGGCAGGCTTTACCACTCGGCACCCCACGCGGCCGGTACCCCCGCCCCGCCTTTCCCCTTCGAGCGAGCGCGCGTCGGGGTTTCCCCCCAGAGCGTTGTCGGCGGCGGCAGCGGAGCGGGGGTGGCGGGAGGCGGGGCCAACGGCGCCGCGGCCGGCGGCGGTGGTGCCGGCTCTGCCCGCGCTCGGTCTGACCCGCGAGGAAGCACGGCGGCGGGCGGGGGCGGCGACGCTCTCCCTCCGGGCTGGACGCAGATGGTGGGTAGGAGAGAGGGCAGGCGCCGGGGGGGGTGGGTGTAGACACGGCGGGCGGGAGAAACACAAACCCTCTGCTAACAGTACAGAAATGCAGAAAAGAAAAGTTGACACGTAAGAGAAGAAGAGGAGAAGATGAGAGAGCGTTCCAGCGCCTAGAGTGCCAAAAGAAAACGAGAGAGTGCCACGTGGTGAACATGCGATCAAAGACGAGCCCCTCATCGCGGCTGCGACAACATTGCGCACTGAAGTACCAGCTTTCGTGTTCTTCTTTTCTCCCGTGTTTCCTGTTGTCCTTTTCCGCCTCTGCGTGTCCTGCAACCGCCTGCTGGCGCGCCACGCCGCCGCTACCATCACGTGCCGTTGGCGCGCGCGTCGCACGCTCCAAAACGCTCAGATGGACCCCTCGCGGAACATGCCGTACTACTGCAACACGGCCACCGGCGAGACCCAGTGGGAGCGCCCCGCCCCGCCCCCGGCTGCCACCACCCGTGCCGTCCCTTCCCCGCACGCGCCGCGGATGCCCCAGGCTACTTCTTCCCCGTACAATCGCGGCAACCCCGCTGCCGCCGGCGGCGCCGCCGCCGGCGCCACGGCCTCCTTTCCCCCTTCCCCGGTGAAGCCGGGGTACACCGGGCCGATCTCGGCCTTGACCGCGGGGGGAGCGGCGTTCGGGCGCCCGCAGCAGCACCAGCAGCACCAGCAGCAGCACCAGCAGCAACACCAACGACAGTACAGTAACCCCATGGCGAGCGGCGGCGTCGCAGCCCCGTACGCTGGGCCCGGCGGGGCGACGATGATGAACGCGGGGCCCGGCGGAGGAGGAGGAGGAGCCTACCCCCCCGCCGCCGCGGGCGGGCCCGCGGGAGGGATGTCGGCTTCTTCCTCTCCGTACCAGCAGGGTGGGTTCGTCGGAGGAGGGGCCCCGGGCGGGGCGGGGGGTTACCCTGGAGGAGCGGGGTTCCCGGGTGACGCCGGCGGTAGCAACAGAATGCGGCCGGGCGGTGGAGCGGGGGTAGGCCCCGGAGGGGCGCCTGGAGGCGCCGTGCACTCGCCGATGAGGGGGATGAGAGAAGGGAGCGGGGCCGGCGGGATGATGCCTTCGTCGTCTCCATCCCCGCCGGGGGCGCCGCCGGCGGCGCCGACGTCGACCGCGTCGGCGGCTTCGTCGGTAGCGGCGGCAGCGCCGGCTCCGCCGCCGCCGTCCGACGCCGAGAGCCAGGCGGTGGTGTCGGCCCTGAACGGCATGCTGGGCGCCCTGAGCGAGGCCCCGCTCAGCCCACCGGAGAAGAAGATGCTTGGGGATGTGACGAAGGTGTGCGGTATTGCCCATGTAGCGTGTGCACGTGCCCTGCTGTTGCTCGGTTTCCACGCGAGAGAGCACACCCCGGAGCTATTTTTGTTTTTCTTTGTGCATTTTTTGTCCTGTACATTACGTGTTTCATGAAACTTGTTTTTAGCAACAACGTCATGTGGCCTGCCTGCCCGCTTCGCTAGGCCATGTGTATCCGTCTCGCACGGTTGTGCTGTGTCCCCCAACAAACTCGAGTGGGTGACACCCAAGCCTTGTATGCTCGCGACTTGCGGATCCGGGTCGCACACCGACATCAAGACAGCGCCTCTCGACGCGGTTCCTGATCCGCTTCATGCCCTTCTGGCATGCCTACACAAAGATAGAACGCATCAAGCCTTCCTTCGCGATGCCCGGGGGGGCTAGGTAGTATACCTAAGCTGTCTTGTCTTGGTGCTTATCGCTCATTCGTTTTTTTTGGTCTTTTGCCCTCCTTCCCGTTGGTATTGAACAGGGAAGGATAGCCTTGGCGAGCTGTTTTTTTTGTGTACCGATGGCAACGAACGTACGGTAGTGATCGAAATGGTGCACGGTTACTTATATGCCACTCTTAGACTTCACCTTCTCCCCCCGCCCCTCGCTCGTCAAGTGTATGTCTCACACAAGCAAAGGTCGTGGGGTTTCTGTCCACTGCTGTGGTGATTGGACGCTACCGAAGTAGCCTTACCTCCCCCAACCTTCCCTCTGCCACTTTCGTTTGTCGAATTTTCTAAGGCGGTGGGTATTTTGTTCGGTAAGATGGGACGCGGCCAGGTGGAGCAGGAGACGCTCGCAAAGGTTGGACAGCTCGTGGAGAGTCTCCAGGTGAAAAGACTACTCGCCAAACAACTTGTTGTTGTTGTTGTTGTTGTTGTTGTTGTTGTTGTTGTTGTTGTTGTTGGTATGATGAGATCATTCCGATAGCTTAAGCCCTTCTAGTTTAGTAGCCCGCGGCACCAATGCGCTGAGCCCTTGGGGAGATTAAGAGGTGTCGTGTCGGTGCTGCTCATGGTTGTGGTATTCGTATGCATAGCAATAGTGCCGTGTCGGGTAGACGCGTTGCTTGTACTCCACCCATGGTATCGTGCTTTCGTGGAGCGGTTACACGGACAGCTGCTACTGCTGCTGCTGCTGCTGCTGCTGCTGCTGCCGCCGCGACGGTCGGTGTTGGTGCCACGTATCCATGCGTTCATGCGCCGGACATCAGATGCGTGCGTGATATCCAACCCCAAAATCAAAGCCCGTGTGTGTTTTATTTGTTCTTTTCGATCCTGTAAATATATTTCTCACCCTTTCCGTTTTTTGTCGTCTGCAGATCAAGGCCATGCATCCTGATCACCCCCCGCCCCCCCCCGTCTTTGTTGTGTTGGGCCGTGCTCTCATGGAACTCCCTCTCGAATTTTTCAATGTGTGATACACATTTGTTGGCGTTGTTTAACCTCCACCGCGTTGTCTGCACGCGTGTACGGGTACATGTATGGACGAATGGATGCACTCATGCGCCGCGACAGGCGCGCGACATCAAGAGGGCCGGCGCGGTTCAGCAGGGGCTGGCGAACTCGGCGTGGGCGAGCCACAAGGACTGGCTCAAGGGGCTCAAGTACCTCACCACCCTGGTGTCAAGGAGGCTTGTTTGATGCCCTGCCCTCTGTTTCTTGGTACACAAGGTTATCCTCCCATCTTCTTTTTGGAGACAAGTAGTAGTACCGGTAGGATGATGGGTGTCGAATGAATGGGAAAAAATTGGTGTAATATCGACGCGGTAGCGCAGCGCTCCTCTTGGTCATGTGTTTGATGTCGTCTTCGACGAGGAACGCAGAGGGACAGGAAGAGGGGTGGAGAGGAAAGAAAGTTGGGGGTCGCAACAGCAGTGAAGTGCTTCGTTCACCAGTTTGCTCGCTCACGGCGCCCCTTCAGGGTATGGTCGTGCATTTTCCTCCGCTTTGTATCGATTTTTAAGATCTATCTTTTGCTGTGTCGCGGTGATGGCTGTGGCAAACTTATCTGCTCCGTGCCCACGTTGTCAAGAATGCTTGGTTCGACGAGGGCACGAAAAACAAGCTCTTTGCTTTTTTGCTTTCGGCGAGACAGGTGTCGGGGGACGCGGGCGGATGTTTTTGCGTTTTTATTTAGGTTTCGTTTTTTTTTTGCTGTTTTTGTCTGTGGGTGCTGGCGCGATCGCTATTCAATTAGCTCTCTATTATCTTCTGCTCGCTCTCGGGCATGAGGTTGAGGACGCGTTGTGAAACCGTTCCTGTTTTGTTTGCGGTGTTCTTCTGTGGAAGTTGGGGAGGATCACTTCTCCTCCAAAACGCGGGTCAGCAAAGGAGATGCTTGCGCACGACGTATCTTTTGCGTTGTCCAGCTGCCAAGCATGAAACGACTGCAGTTGCTTCCGCACGACATTGCTTCTTGCATTGTCCACCTGCCAAGCATGGAACGGCTGCAGTTGACAGAGTCCGTTGACAGAGTCAGCGTCGGTGTGAGAGCTGCTGGGTTCGTCCTCCAACTACAGCAGTAGCATGCCGAGCACGCCGGAGGGTCCCTGTTGCATGGAGGATGGGCACACTCGCTCAAACCTTTTGGAGCCGGCACGCTGCCTGCCGCCAACTGTCGTAGAGGCTGCGGCTGACACCGCCGACCATTGACTGCTTTTAATCGCCGACCCTGTCTTAAATTGGAAGTACTTGGAGTAACCTTTCCCTTCACCCCCACGGCAAGGGTCGCCTTCCCGCAATCAATCCCCGGGATGGGATGGAACGATGGAAGAATGGTTCCAGAGGGGCGACGCAGAAGGCAGCGAGCGGCCCGATCGTTTGTGCTTGTCTTCTTCTCCCCTCTTTTTCGTTAGCCCATTCGCTTGCAGTGTACAGCCAGTACACCCACCTATATCGCTTCGGTCTCGCTGTCTCTCTCTCAACCGAAGACTTGCGATCCGGGGTTTTACCGAGAGTATGTTCGTGCATGTCTTTGGTATTATCGTGAGAAGGATTGAGTTCTTCCGTCAACGCAGGAGCTTCGACCGGTGTGTGGTGCTTTTCGCCACAGCCACCGTACCACACGAGGTGAAGGAAAGAAAACTCGAAAATATGGCCTGAATTGTTGTTTAATCGGGCATTAGAAACATAACCTGCTCCACACATAGACTAGACTAGTATTGTATCGACACCTATGCCGGTCAATGCCAGCTGTTGACTGCTGTGCCGGTGGTTGAGCGCATTGCTGCCGAAGTATACATACGCATATATATATATATATGCATAGATACAAGACGGATTTTCGAGTGTCTTGTGTCCCTGCCCTGTCTCGTTCGAATCTCGCGCGACGTCCACAAGCAGTGTTTGGACACAAGCACATGCGTCTTCGCACACGTTATGTTATCTCCCTCCCTCAACAGGACTGGTTGGCGATGGCCTCCACCCCACTCACAACCGGTGCATCTTGTACCTTTCCCCAAACCATGCGGACGGATACTACCATTAAAAAGCACCTCTGCCGCCCCCGGTTACCAAACGACCTAGGCGCCATCCGAGCGAGAAGTTTGATCCCGTAGGACAAGACCGGCCAGTTACGCTACGGCTTACACAGAAACAATCTACCACCTCTCAACAGATTGAAGCGTGACTAAACAAAATGCCACCCTACATGTCAAACGGCATGGGCACAACTTTTATTCTCAAACATTAACGTGCGCGGCCTGCCAGCGAAATTCAAGCAACGAAAGCTACTGGCCATTTAGCCCCCCGAACCGCTATTGCATGCTAAGAAAAAGACGGGGGGAAAGAGGGTGGGCAGGTTTGAGGGAGAGAGCCGCTGCCTGTCTCTTCTCTAGGTGGTCTCTCGGTCCAGCGAACGGAGGAGGCTGAAGAGCAACGCCACTCCATACCCGGTTGCCCTTCGATTGCGACACGAGAGAGAGAGAGGGAGAGAGAGAGAGAGAGAGAGAGAGAGAGAGAGAGAGAGATGCAAACAAGAACGGCCGAACAAGCAAGTCACCGACGACGTTTACAGGGCTGTTGAGCAAGAGAATAACAAACGGTTCAGCAGTCTACTATAGTGGAAGCACCACGGGAAGGCGACGCCGTCTCGTGTGTACCTACAACATAGATAGGTGTAACGGCAACGAAGAAAACAACCAAGGGTGCTGAACGTTTGTTCGTTCCCGACGGATGGATGCGGTGTGATGAAAGTCTTGCTTTGTGCGCGCCTGGCTTCGAAAGACTATGCCAACAAATCGGCCCCCGCTAATTAACTCACGCTTCTGGCGAGACACATGCTTTGTGGTCCCCAAAAATAAGAGGGGAAGGTACGGGTGCAACTGGCCCTTCGTTCGGATATTGGTGGGCATCGCGCGGAGACCTACAACAGACACACGTGCAGCGCAGAGTCTGCCGTCGCAAAAACGTCACCAAATGCATATCGGCACGGCCACGGCTACTCGTCACAGCAGCTAAGACGAAAAAAGGGTCCGGTGGATGAGTCGCTACGCGCAGCAAAAGACCGCAGCAGCGGCGAGAGCATCCGTCGGGAAAACCTGCCGCGCGAGCAGCTCCTCCGTGCGGACACAAGACACAAACACACACACAAACACACACAAACCGGCGCTCACCTCTCTCCCTGGTGCGCCGGAGAAGCCATGTCGCAGTGGAGCCATCGACCGCCGCCGGCCGCGGGGCCGGCCACGAACGCCTCCATGTGGTTCGCGATGAACTGCCCGGCGCACGACACCTGAGCGTTCGAGCGGTCTGCCACAGAGTTTTTCATGTCCGCGACGGTGGACCTGCATGCCGCCATGGCACACAAACGCGGCAGCGGCGAGCGTGGGCGGGTTGGCGATGCCCGACGGCGGGGAAGGAAGCAACAGGTACCAGGTACACCACAGCAGCGAACGAGGACAGCATTACTAGCTCGGTCAGTTTTCAAAGATTCTCGGACAAGCTTGGGTAGTTGCGGCGGGCACATCCGGGAAACACGGATCCATATATGGTATATGCCAAGAAGAAGACCCGGTCATCGTCATACGGAAGAGCGTTCGCAGTTGTAGGTTAAGCGGGTACCCTCTGCCGGCTGTCCTCGACCTTTCCAGCAAAGCCCCCGTTGACAAGAGCAGTCAGCAGCCTGGATAGTGCTGTTTGTCTCTCGCAAGCAGCGTTGTGCTTCAGCGTCCAACGACCTCATCGCATGGCAACCACAAAAGGCATACACACCGGGACGCGCACGCCGACCAACCGGGCTCTCAACCCCCCCCCCCCCCCCTCCTTTCCCTTTTTCTCTCCCCTCCCCCCTTT